GACAAAATAAACATGTTAACCTTAAAAAAAGAAAGATTAATCAGAAATTTCGGTAGCTAATATACTAGGAAATCTCTGCTAGATGTATAGCTCGTATCAAAGAATGTTGTCCCATAACTAACACACTAAAGAGGAAGCTTTATATTAAGTGCCTATGATCACAAAGGAAAACACGAACGATTCCCTTATAGARAGYGAATAACCCATGAAAGCCGGGACACTTGAAGAGCGATRMAACTCCYCGGTAAAACAGACAAAGATATCCAAAAAGAATTTCTTGATATTTGYGCATTSGTACAAACTTCAATTGATATAAATGACCACTGCTGAAAAGAACCATTGTTGCTGATTTTATTCMGAAAAGGGAGCAACGATTTCAGATATAGAACTTACCATAAGAATTACAGTGATGGGCAATATGAAGGCTAATTGTGTGTAGTATTCTGAGGATATCCAACAACTGAAATAAAACAACAAACATATTCAAATTAAAAGCGYATTAAAGCAACATTTTTACGTATAGCCATTCGAGGTATCAAAGTTCATGGAGTAAGAATTCAAAAGGAAATGGGTCGCCAAGTAAGAGTTCCTTGCTATGTATCGATATTGCCCTATAAAGACTTCATAACATTTGATGGAAGAAAGAGTGAAGTTGTTACAACCGCAAAAGTATTAAAGCGTTATTATAGTGGATAAACACAAAAGAAAACAATGCAAGTAGAGCGTACTAATGTGCATTAGTGTGAGATCTATTTCACGGTTTTTTGGACTTCACTCTACTCAAAAAGGCAACACTTAAAACTCAAACACAACCACAACAAAAACAACAACAACAACAACAGCAGCAGCAATAACAACAACAACAGCAGCAACAACAACAGCAACAACAACAGCAGCAGCAACTACAACAGCAGCAGCAACAACAACGACAGCAACAAACAAACAAAAGACACTGCTATATTGTTGCTACAGTACTAGCTACAAAGACATTGAAGCCAGACATTTGGACAAAAGTTTGAGACGTAGCTCTAATATATGCCATGCGCAATACCTGGTTGGTGTTCCATACTCTTTAAATCGACTGAGTACTGTAATAAGAACAATGATCAAAGGAGTTCCTGGAAGACATCAAGGGATACTGTCAATATATGAGATTCTAAGAAGCAAGATTTTCATTGGTTATTCACAAAAAGAAAAAAATGGCAGGGTATACGCTGCATAAAAGCGCATTGCTCTTTTTTTACATACAAAACAAGAAAGAATAAACGGTTATGTATGAGTTCCTAAAAAGCACGCTGCTCATCGGTTACTTATAAGACAAGAAAAAAAAAGACAGTGTATAAGATTCTAAGAAGCGCATTGTTCATTGGCTACTTACCCCAAGAGAAAGCAACACAATGATAGACTCCTGATGTAAGGTTAAAGACAGTGTATAAGATTCTAAGAAGCGCATTGTTCATTGGCTACTTACCCCAAGAGAAAGCAACATAATGATAGACTCTTGATGTAAGGTTAAAGACTTTGATAACCATTGCATACAGATGAAGACCTTCACACAACATCCAGGCAAACGATACCAGATAGAAATAATGCAGTAATATTGCTGTTAACTTGCAACTTGTCTTCAATTAAAATAGTAAAGGATGAATAATGCAGTAATATTGCTGTTAACTTGCAACTGGTCTTAAATTAAAATAGTAAAGGATGAATAATGCAGTAATATCGCTGTTAACTTGCAACTTGTCTTAAATTGAAATAGTAAAGGATGATTATACAAGAAACGAATGCGATATAGTCTATATATGAAATAGAGCTCTTGGTATTAAAGGGACTTCATCATCGTGCATGGAAATGAGACATTTTGTGGCAAAATTATAAGCAAGTTTTGGAATAGTGCCAACAAACACCTAGTTTTCATTTGCGCACCTGCGGTTCTCCTGAAAGCGGCCCGAGTATCGCAGAAATTGTCAATGTACGGAAGACACCTTACCTTGTCTTCGGTATGTTCCACGCCTGCTAAAAACACTGTCTGTGATATTGCAATGGATATAAGCAAATTGCAGTGAATTAAATTGCGATCTGTATGCAGACCTTTCCTTTAAAAATGAAAGAAAAAAACACATATATAAAAACTGAATAAAAATATTTGTCACTAGCCTAAGATCTTAATGAAAAAGCGCAGAGTATGCTTGGTTCCCCCAAGTTACATTGTGAATGATTTAGAACAGCACGCTAGAAAGTGAAGAAATGAGGGTAACAGCAAGAGCTGCACAGGCCGGCGCATGGTGAGCCCTCATAAAATATACCTTTTCTTATAATTCTTATTTCATAGATCATTTATTCCTTGAATACGCAAAGTTGCGTTTTGSGCTTGCGTGCTCCGTTTAGAAATACGACTCAGTCAATCAAATTGCGCGTACCATCTCAAGTATATAAAAATAGCACTTGGAGATACGTAGAATTCACTTTATATGTGCGTAATTGTTTTGMGTTACATGTCCGACGAATGTTCATCGCGCGTGTTAACTCTACGCAATCTAATGGCGATTTTACCGAGACGCAGCTCGGGGATATCTTTGAATCTCCCAGACATATGCTGTGAGAAAAAAAAAATTGCTAGTGTAAACTGAGCGCGTGTTTTTTTGATTGTTTATTTTATGTTAAATAACATTTACTTGACTTACGTAAGAACGAGAAGTACTCCAATGGCGGCCACGGAACCAAATAACGACAACGCACAGCCCACATACGTAATGACACTTAACGCAAACTTATTAACCTTGGTCATCTAAACATATCAAGAAAAATATGAAATACGTTACGTGGAAACGTTACGTTAGCGATACGTCATGGTTCAAAGTACCCTATGAAAAATGCGGTACTCTTATCGAAGTTAGACGATCTGGTGAACGTGCAATGGTAGAAACCTGTAAGAGATGGTTTCGGCCATTACACTTTCACCATGGTCAATCGTCAAGCTTCGATGCAAAAGAACGCATAACTTTCAAGATATGCCACTGTATGCCAATGTCTTTGTGTGTTGTCTATGGTGTTTCATTGCTGTGGCCGGTTGTACGAAGCGTGGATAAAGTTATCCACCCCTTAGATTTTGTAGGTTTTTAGCTGCTTGATAAGGATTTATCAGGTTCGTACAACCGACCCTAGTTGTACAAATACAGGGATTCAGAATTCTACTAATGGTCAAGTTCGTCCTACCTTCACATCTTCAGAACCCATAAGAATGGCGAAATTTGTAAGATGATTACAACTACACGTGGTGTATGTGTTATTGGACAGCTCGCTGACCACGTGACAACCACGCCGAGACCACACCCCCATACCTCTCGCAGATCTGCAAATAAGATATAGAAATACAAAAAAGGCTATTGATCTTGTTTTTCTTTTTTCTTGTGATTGTTACATCAGGGACAGAAATGCAGTCAGTCCGCAACTTGGTTCAGTAGCACTTTTAAGGACCGTTTACACTTGCGAATTTTGCAGCGCGATAATCGCTACGTTGCTACCACGCAACTAAAATCGTACGTGTAAACCGACAGCCCTGCGATTGTTSCGACAAAGGAAAATTGCGCGAAGTTGCAGCCAATTTTCAAGCATTTTCGAAATTCAGGTGATGGTTGCGCGAAGATCGCCGCGAGAATCGCTCAGTCTGCAAAAATCGCACGTGTAAACGAGCCTTTAGAAGAAAACCACTAGATACTTCTAGATGTATCTCTRCCATTTGTACGCAAAACGTCTTGTTTATAGCTAAATTAATCCTAAGTTAACTCTTACAAAACCCATGGAGTTTACCCTGGATTGACACTGATCGGCCTTTWAAAAAAAAATGCGTTCCTTGACTCTACGTTTTTTGGAATAGCTGTACATACATTATGGCTCTCCACCAGAAATGCCGCARTATTAGGACAACAAACTTTTACTTACGGAATGGAGAAATCCCAAAAAGCACAAACGCTGTATTCAYTTTTATCAAGAACTTTCAGATGCTTCATGACAATGATGACGTTACTATTGAAAGGTGGCGTGACATCCGGGATCACAAATGAYGACAACACGTGACTATTGATGACGTGACTGTTATTGGTTTCATAGCTAATAGAGAAGATGAAGAAGACTGTTTGTTAGAGTGTAATCGTTAAAACSTGTTTTCACCGACGACATAAACGCAAGCATATAATGAAGCATAAATRCATGAGGACATATTTTGCTGAAAAAAACGCCTAACGCAATGAAAAAGCAAGCAAAAAATAACAAAAATCCTATTTTTTGCGCTTGATTTTGCTAATAAAACTGATTAATCTAAAAAATCGCAAACCTCCTTCACAAATTTTCCTCCTCTTGAGTGAGTGGGATGTTTAAGGAGGGACTGACTACTTACACAGCGGTTGATAGCTTGTCTTTTAGATTAAGGTAAAGCATACTAACAGCACGGTATTCTGAAGAATGAATGTCAAGACAAATATAGTATATTTTGATAATTTAGATAATACGGAGAATGGTGACTCGGTACTGACATAAAGGGTGAYRGGTTTAAAAGAGATACCATTRTTACATTCCTTCCTTCATWATAAAAGTAATCAAGGATGTAGTGTCGCGATTTGTTGGAGAARGAGGAAAACACTACGCTCATCGGTAAAGGAYCATGGTCAACCTTAAGCTTTGTTGAAGACTGCATTGAATGCCGTKTGWYCATGGCCCTTCAAKAGCATCCTCCATGTTTTCCAACATYCCTRTGTASTTAACATCACTGATAAACCACTGGTATCTCTATTAAATCCGTAACCCTCTRTTAAACGACCACAAGAAAAAGGCACCTGKTCACACCCTATTAACATACCCTCCGTTCACCGGCCAACCTCTATTAAACGGCCGCATTTGAAAGTCCCGAGGGTGATCGCTATAGTAAAATATACTATTGTGTGCCTATTAATTCACCCTCTGTTCATCGGCCAACCTCTATTAAACGGCCACATTTGAAAGTCCCGAGGGTGATCGCTATAGTAAAATATACTATTRTGTGCAAATCAAAGTCTTACYGATGGTTGAGTTAGGAAACATTCCTTTTGGTAGGATAATGACGTCATTGAYATCTTTCCAGTTCTTTGATGGAAATRAATTGTGGGAATAATCAGGAAAGCGATAAGGTGGCTTAATAGTTGTAACCTCCATGTCTGGAAATATAGTAAGTTCAAATCATTGTCGTATTCAGTAATTACTAAAGGCTCACTTTTTCAAAGGTTCTCAGATGGCTGTCTTACTTCCGTTTAATGTATTACTTACGCATCTTTTCATTGGTTGCTGTGACAGTTTTGTTGGTTTTGAKTGCGATGTATCGACCAATGTCGTCCAAGATATTCAGTACGTCAAASGGGTTGAACCATTTAGATGAATTCCGCTGTTCTTGGAAGGTGTCGAAGATCTTATCAGTGCTGTTCACTGCGCCCTAAAATAAAATGCACGGTGCGTTGAGCGTGATGACAATCAACTTGGATTCCTCATTCCTTTTAAAGCCATCGACACATTTGAGAGTACTCGTACTCTAAACTCGTAATGCGTACAACTCAAATTTAATACCTCGACTATTTCTTCCACGTTACCAGAGGAACTGGTCAAGTATCTTTTCCAGGCATTTGATTCATTCTTGAAGCAGCGTACCTGTAGAAAGATAGAGATAATTATAATCAGAACTAAACGAGAATCTATCAAGCACGCCTTAATGATCTTTTCCRGTAATGACGTCATATYTTTKATCGAMATGCATYATGGTATTCATATAAGTATCATGGAGGATGCCGGGTGTTTTTTGGTGAAATAAACGCGTCGATGCACCCTAAAGTTCACTCGCAAAACAGACTGAAAAAAGTTTTTAGTTTCACCATCTTTCTGTCATTGCATGCCACCGAACWTCACACGGCCTCATTAGAGGAAAAGACAATTTTGAACTCAGCTAAGAAGTAAATTTTGCTCGCAGGAAAGGAACATGGAACCAAATAAACACTGTATCTTACCATTGATGACAGGGTGTTACGCATGCAGTGAAATTTTGTGGGACCTAAAATAAATATGTAAGAATTTGAAACACTCTAGTCACTAGTCTACTGAAAGTGTACTACCTAATTATTATTTTGATRCATTTATTGTGGAAATGCTTACGGATTTGCTTATTATCATGTTTAGTGCACACTTGCATTTATAAATAGCCCTTATTGTTCGTTCTCAAGATATTCACAGCAGCCATCTTGAAGGAASTTCAACAAAGGATTTCTCCTTAGTATCTATTGTTCATTCCTCCAACATGGCCTCCGGACTTTTAACTTTTGAATGTCATGGGAAGAGTTTAAAACGATCAATAGGTACAAATTTAAAGTGTAAAGCTTGCAAATGCTGTCGCGTGCACATATAGAAATTTCAGATAACGTTGAATATAACTGAATACCCTGTGATAATGTGCATATTATGACGGTAGAGAGTACCTGGATGTGGCTGTGTGGTTGTAGTTTCAGTAGGTTTAGTGGTAATTTCAGCCTGCGTTGTGTCAGTAGAACTTATCGTCGAGGGAATGAAAGTTGTAGTAGGAACTGATGAAATAACTATAAAATAAAGATTTGATAAAAAAAAGAGATGATCACTCAATGTGATTTGATTTGCAACAAAACGGCCCTTGTACGTTTTGACAATGTCTGACGTTTGCTGGGTTTTCTGCAAGTTAGTATAAAAACGCTTTAAAACATTGTAATTCAAATATATTTAGATGCAAAAATTGTATTCAAATAGTCCAAATGAAGTTCATTCATCGGTTGAAACTTCGACCAAGTCGCGCACTTTCCAGCAAATGACCCGAAATCCTGATAAAAAAAACTTGACGTCCCATGAGGACTAAGAATACAGGAATGCCTGATCAAACGGTAAGAAAAGTATTCAATGAACAAACAAACAAAGAAATAAACAAACAAATGTACAACACAGCTACAAGACGGCGAAATAGTGAACGWTCCCTGCGCCATTTTGAAACGCAGCCCTGCCTTATATCGAAGCCGGAGACCGCTGATATATACCAGTAACTACCCGAGGCTGTTTCACCTCACTTTGATGATTAGGAACAACTACCTTCTTAAAAGATGAAATAGTCTTCTTCACGGTTCCCTGCGCCATCTTGAAAGGTAAGCGTGCAGACACCTACMGACAGTTATTCCGACATATCTTTGCATGCTCAACGGTTATCTCGCTTCGATGTAAAGGCACAGCTACCTTTCAAGATGGCGCAGGTATTAACCGTGAAGGAGACTACTGAAGGAATTTAGATCAATGGTMTAATGTTACCTGTAGGTTTAACTTCACAGAATTTGCTCTTAGCRTCAAACACTTTACCACCAGGGCAAGTATGATTCGACGCAAAACCACCACTGCATTGATAGAATTTATGGACGTCGGTAGGATCAGGAAAATACCCATCACTAGTACAGTTAAAACCTGTAAGAAACATATAAAAGTATGGAGGAAATATCAGAATAACATAACAGTTTCCTCCAAAAACAATTACTTTAAGCCGGTGTAAGATATTTATCCGCAAATTCTACAGTCTATATCTTTGCGGAAATGCTTATAGATGTATATTTAAAACAATGCTATCAGATTCGAAATAACAGTAGATTATGCAGGAACCTCGGACACAGTAAAGTCAGGAGGAATTAGTTGGGCTATAACTCCCTCCCTTTTCAATTTTTAAAAAACTGCAAATAATATTTTCAGTAAAAAATGAAAGGAATATTAARAGAATACKCAACGTATATACMKRCTCTAAATCCAAAATACAAATGKKGAGCTGSAGTCAATCTATGTACGCTAAGTAGGAAGTTCGAGACCATTTAAAGTGTCCACTTGCCCACAGACAAATCGTGGTGACAGTGTCCGTCCGGTCGGGAAATAAACCTCAGACCAGTCGACTCAAATCTAACCACTTTATAAACCTCTATTATGATTTAGAAAAACATTTTGACGATTCTTACACGTTTTTTCTCTCTTTTTAGCCTACTTTTTCTTCTTCTTTCAATGCGTTTAAAAACTGCTCACCGTTTAACTCCAATATCAGCTTTGCTTTTTCACTGCAAATACGCTCCAAAATTTGAAGATTTGACGGTGAAACTGAAATGATCCCTAATTCTATTCTGGATCATAAACAATCTATGCCCAGTTTGTGGGCTATGCGCTGTTGTTGGAYGTACGCTTATCTGACTACGTGACTAACCCAGTCTAACCCCATGGTCGGCGGTAACATCGAAACTATTGCTTGGGATGACAATACTAGTCATCGTCTAACCGAATGTTAACTTCARAATGCGAAGCTTTGAACAYTCTACCAAGAARGTGCCCTTTTACAATTGCGATTTTTCAGAGCGATTATTGCCGCGATCGTCGCGCGACTATGGCCTGAATTTCGAAACATGCTTGAAAATTGGCTTCAACTTCGCGGCGATTTTCCATCGCCGCAACATTGCAGGGCTGTTTACACGTACGAYTTTAGTTGCGCGATAGCARAGTGGCGATTRTCGCGCTGCAAAAATCGCAAGTGTAAACTTTCTTGGTTGGACGCAACTTCCTTATCATTAACAAAGAGGACCATAATAGCATTTTGTCAAGCTTGTCAAATAACGGTTTATATGTGAATGTACTCGCAATGGTAAAATGACAGACGTTTCTTAAAGTTTTATGGTGATACATCAACAGTCTATAGGGTTCTCTACATTTGTTCCCATGTAATGCATACATATGGAATAGCTTTTAGWAATGGAATATGGTCACGATTAGTAAACCCTTCTTTCTGTATATGTACTAAATAACGTTTCAACCCAACCAACAAATCGAAATTCCTTCTGCTTAGTCAAACAAACATTAATTTTAGTTTGCTGTATTTTTAGCCTTTGAACATCGACCCTTGGTATTCCATAAGATTCATCTTTTTTGGGAATTTCAAGTTGTATGAATTCAAGCAAATGTGAATTAAAAGTTATTAGGTTACCTGCGTTCGACCCCAAGACTTGACACAGAATCTATAAACACGAAATAATAACATATAGTCAAAGATCAAAATAGACTTCAAGGACATTGTGAGATATAATTGGTCTTTTAAAAGAAGTACCTGAACAGAGAGAAGTATGATAGMTAACATCATTACACCTTGGTGGGGATTAGCTACCACTAGCTGCTGGAAATCGGGAACTGTTTAACTGTGAGATCTGTAGACCGATTGCCTTCAAATTGCTATTGTTTCTTGGTGCTGGCAAAGTGCCTGAYACTCAGTCCAATTCTGTACGCGATACGTCTTTAGACATAGTTTAGGGATACACCAGCGGTCATTGGGTCAACCCCTTCTGTCATCTAAACTATCTTTGTTGAATTCATATATTTTTACATCAAAGGACAAAAGCTCATCGGTAATCTCGGTCTTGTTTGGTTTTATATAAGTAATGAAGTTACAATGAAGGCTCTTTTACCTCTTGACAGAAGAATAACAAGATTCTGTAAATAGAACAGCGTTAGTGAATATCTGGGATTAGGATTGACAGATTGGTCAAAATAGGGAATTTGTGGGGGTGGGGAGGGAAGGGGATGAGTTTGTTGAGAGTGTGGGTGGCTCAAACCGTTCATTGCATATTGGGTAAGCGCTTTGGGGTTAAAGTTTGGATTTAATTTTCACGGATTGAAATAATATGTCTGGGGATAAAGCTAATTGGTCGTGGTTATTTGAATAACAGAATCTTGAGCAAATGATTCTAGTGGTGATATCAACCGGTCCAACCTGTCCTTCACTGTAATGACACAAAGACTAGACCTTGCTTAAAGCTGAATAGAGGTGACTGTTGAAAGGGATGTTTTCTATACAGAGGTCTTCGTTAACTGGAGGTGTCGGTATATAAATCATGGACTGGTGGTCTGACTACCGAGGTCTTCGTTATCTGTTATATGGAGGTGTCGTTATCATGAACTGATGGTCTGACTACGGAGGTCTTCCGTATACACGACTTCGGAGGTGTTCGGTATACACGAGGTTTCGTCGAATGGATTTTGGTAAGATTTCCAAATGTTCGAATGATACTGGCCACATTGCACGGGCACTCCGCGGATCCCCTACATTATGCCCGCGGTTGTAATTAGGGATGGATCTGT